GCTGCGCAGCCACCGCCGGGACCAGAAGTGGCACGACAAGCAGTACAAGAAGGCGCACCTGGGCACGGCGCTGAAGGCCAACCCCTTCGGGGGCGCTTCCCACGCCAAGGGCATCGTCCTGGAGAAAGTGTGGGTGATCCTCTCACATGGAATGGGCGTCCTAGAGCCCCTGGGATGCTGCTCACGCGAAGGATGGGGAAAAACGGGGATTCGGGGTGTTTTTTTCCAAGAAGGGTGGAGGGGGGGGGAATAAAAATCTTGGACCAGAATTAGTTTTTTAAAAAAATGGGAGGGGTTGGCACAGCTTACAGCAGAATGGGAAACGTGTGGGGTTTTATCAAAAATTAGGGAAAACCAAGATTTGTGGTAAGACTTCAAGAAAATTAATTTATTTTAAAAGTTTTTAAAAAAAGTAATTTTAGTTTTAAAATTAGAATTTTACAAAAATCGGAATTTTTTTTGCATAGTTGATAATCAGGATTTTTTGGCACAAATGGAAAGGAAATAATGCTCATGTATCATAAATCCTACCTACTTCTTCCATCTTTTGCTGCTTAAAAATAATTTACAAATTTCATTGGGATGCTGCTGCCACAGCTCTGGTTTTGAGGCAGTGTTTTTTGGTTTCAGTTCTGGAATTTCTGTTTCTGGTTTGTTTTTTTTTTTTTTAGAATTTTATCGAATTAATCTGGAGATCATCTCAGTTGCTGTTTGGCATAGGAAGTGGTATTTTATGGATTTAGGCTTAAATCTAGATTAATGTATATTAATTATTAAATCAGTACTTCTAAACTATCTCATAGGCGTTGAGGTACAGATACAATTTACAGTGAACACGAGGTAAAAAGGTTGGTTTAATTAATGCCCCTCCTGGTGCCCCACCCTGATTTCTTTGCTGGCTGGTTTCCTTTGCAGGGGGGTCGAGGCCAAGCAGCCCAACTCTGCCATCAGGAAATGTGTCAGGGTCCAGCTCATTAAGAACGGCAAAAAAATCACAGCTTTTGTCCCCAACGATGGCTGCCTGAACTTCATCGAGGTAATTGCCCAGCACCCTAAAACCTTGTGAGGAGGTGTGAAAATCAGATTGATTGCCTTCGCACTGATTCAGTCTGGGTTTGGTGGGTTTGGTCAGCACACCGAGTGTTCCGGGCTGTGGTGGGGCAGGTGCAGCTCGCTCAGGGGTGTGTGGGGCTGGCTCTGGCGCTCACTGTCCCATTCTGTCCCTGTTCTGCCCCAGGAGAACGACGAGGTGCTGGTGGCCGGCTTTGGGCGCAAGGGCCACGCCGTGGGGGACATCCCTGGCGTGCGCTTCAAGGTGGTCAAGGTGGCCAACGTGTCCCTGCTGGCCCTCTACAAGGGCAAGAAGGAGAGACCCAGGTCGTAAACGCTCACCGGGCTGACAGGAACACAAATAAAATCTTATTAAGGTTTTAAAAAGGAGTTCTCTGCTTCTTATTCGGGGGTTGGTGCAGGCACAGAAATCTTTCATTTAAGAAATTTAATTTCTGCCTAGATCTGGCCAAGGAAAAAGCCCAAATCCTAATGTTCTTTTGGGGGTACTAATCAGGAATCAAAATACCCCTCAGGGCATCACAAGTGCAGGAATTTTAATGCATAATTGTGAAAAAAAGCCTTTCTCACATGAAAAATCCTCACTGGAGTGCTGGGAATGGTGTTTGTGGCAGCACTTGCAGCCTCAGGTGTGAGCACAGGCACAGAACTCGCTGGGTTTGGGCCCTCAAGGGGTGATGGAACCATGGACCCAACCCAGAGAGTTTCACCTCCTGAGTGTAAATTAAATTAACTCTGCATGTTTTGGGGCAAGTCTGTCCAATTTGAAGACACCTGTTGTAGTACAGCATCACTGTGCTCTGACTTGGGTGTCTGAATTTTTACCTGCTTCGCCAGATAAGAAAGGCATAATTCAGCAGTTTCTTAATGCAGTCAAACCTCCAAATATTTGAAGTCAGAGTGAACAATTCCCTTGTTACAACTGTGTGGTGATGGAAAGGCTCTGATTTGAAATAATTCACTTATTTATATAGGAATTTATGTGAGAATCCAACAATTTATATGGAAATTGAGAAGGAATCCAAGAATACGTTCAGAATTCTCCAGAATTTTGGGTAGTCCAGCTCCCGGGGGGAGGCAGAAGGGAAGGGGACCGTCCCCATGGCGGTTCTGGATCTCCGAATTGCAGAGGGGGAACATTCATCGGGCGCTGTCGTGAGGCCGTGGCGCCACCAGGTGTCGCGACAGGAGCGGAAGGGGACAGCTGAAACGGAAACGCTCGAGACAAGAACTTGAGTGGGCTGTGACAAAGGAAACGGGGAAATTCGGGAAAACCGGGGCTGCGGAGAGGCTGGAGAGCAGATCCGGGCTGGGCTGAGCAGCCCTGGAGGAGCCCTGGGGGGCNCAAACCCTGCGGTTTTACCTGTCAGTGATAACAATCAGGTGATCTTTTATAGGCAGTTCTGCATACCAGTAGTAACCAGGAGCTCCTCTGAGTGGGTTGGGCACTTGGGTTTGGCAGCAAAGGTAACCAGGCAGGGCCAGGCCATTTTTCATCACCTGTGAAAAATGTGTATTTTATGGTTGGCTTTTGGCAATTATTAAAATGAATATTATCTGTGTTATGTTAGAAAGTTGTGCTGTATTAATTCTCTTAAGTAGTGTGTTAAATATAGTTTTAGGTTACAACCAAATGTTAAAATAGAAACTATGCTATGTAGGATACTTTTTTAAAGAAAAGACTCACAGCGAGATGGCAGCCACAGGACACCTGAATCTTTCAGAGAAAGAGAATTTATTGCTCCATTATCAGAAGAAACAAACTTCTTCCTGCATTGCTCAGCCCTGAAGACGCCATCAGAATTCAGAGGAAGCAGCTGAGAGTGGCCAGACAGAATCCTGTGTTTGAATGGAATTTATGCATCATGGATGAGGTGTATGAATATGCAACAGGTTATTATTTTTAAGGGTTAATCCTCTGTTAACATGAGTCCTTTTTGGGGCTTTTTTTGCCCAGAAAGAGGTATTTGGACATCTGTAACTCTTTGTTTCTATTGGCTTGTATTGTCCTAATCCTATTTCTCCAAATTATTATTATTCTAATTGTATTGCTATTTTTATAACCATTTTATTACTATTAAACTTCTAAAAATTTAAAAAACAAGTGATTGGCGTTTTTCATATCACCTCAGCTCTGTGGCCAGGTGAGGGTGAAAAGAGCTGGAGCATACGTGTGAGTGTGCATTAACAGCTGTGACATTGATTGGCATGTGTAGAAAGCCTTTTAGAAACGGGTGCAGACCCTTTGGAATGAAAAAACACATTGTGTAACAAACTGTATATGATCTACAAAAGCGAGCACCTCGGTGTGAGTAAAGGGATAAGAGACACCCCTCACGCAAGCAGTACAGTAATAAATCCACGCTGATTTTCCGTGTCTAGCTCTGGTTCCACAATTTTCTTTCCCAATTTTCTGTGAGGCCTGANTATTCTATATAATCAATATTCTATTCTATTCTATTCTATTCTATTCTATTCTATTCTATTCTATTCTATTCTATTCTATTCTATATCAGCCTTCTAAGAACTTGGAGTCAATTCTCATCCCTCACCTCATCCTGGGGACCTCACAACAGCATAACAATTAAAAACCACATGTCCTTGCCATGGCAGGGGAGTGGGATTTAAGATTCTATCCAACCCAAAATAGCCTGGGATTCCAGAATTACCTTTTTTTGTCCTCCACAAAAAAAAAAACCCCACAAAATTCCAGTGTGTGTCACAACCCAGCTGTGCAGCACCACGGGATGCCAGGCACCAGAGATCAGATTAGAGTGGCAGTTTCAGGATAAGTGGTGGGATTTCGGGTGGATTTGTCTGCTTGGCCAACCGAGACATTTAATTTTAGCAGTGCTTATCTGGCAGCTCTCTCTCCAAAGCTGCCCTGAGGGCTTGCCCAGGAGGGGAGGTCTGAGAAAAGGAAAGAGTCTCAGACTCTCTGTGGGTCCCAGAAAACCAGATTAATTCGGGTTGGACACTAATGGTCATCTTGTTCCCATCCTGTGTGCTTCCAGGGACACACCTTGAGGCCACCTGTGCCTGCACACCTCTCACCCATCAGCCTGAATATTGACTTTATTCTTATTTGTTGTCTCAAATCAGACACGTGCTCTTAACTGTTTTTTACTTCAGTTAGTAACCTGTTCTTATCTGAACCCATTTTTTGGTACAATTCCCTTCCAGGAATGAGGGAGAGGCTGTGTGGTGTTTAACTGCAATCTGGGGTTAAAACATGACATATTGGATTTAAAAAACAAACAAAAAACATACAAAAAAAAAGGCAAAAAAACCCACCAAAAAAAAACCCTAAAACAGTAATTTTGAAGAATGTGGTGAAACAAAGAAAATTTGTCTTAACAGAACTGTCCCAAAGTTCTGGTGTAGTTTAAAAGGAAAGAGCAAACCCCATAGCAGCTCCATGGCAAACCATCTCTTTCCCAGGTCTTCACCTTTTAATGAATATTTGTCCAATAAATAGCAGTTTATTGTGGTATATTTATGTTACATTCACCAATTGTCTTCCTAGTCAGATTTTAAGTATTCCTAGCTTTGTAAAGCAAAGCTGCAGCATTTTCACAAAGACAAAATGGTTTTGAAATTACCAAACTACAACTGCATTCCAGCACTGGAACTGCATCTTCAAGAGCTGTCTTTTGTAACAGTAATGTTTTCTCTTCAAAGTGTTGATGGGGTTTATGGTTCTGTATGGGATTGCTTGGGGTTTCTTCTGCAGGGGGAGGTTGGATTTTTATAAATTTAGAATTTTTTTATTAGTTATTATATAAAGATTGTATTTAAAACCAGGACTGTGTAAACACAAACACGTAAATACAAAATAAGTATTTTCCACTTCAGCCACGAGCAAAGGCTGTGTTAAAAATGATGTGTTTATATCTAATTACTGCCTCTTCAGAGTCGTTCCCAAAAGGGGAAGGGAACGTTCATGATTTGGATGGATGCAGCTTGGCAGCGTGGACTGAAGCAGCTTTCAGAAACCAGAAATACGAGCTTGTTTCTGTTACAGAACTTCACTCTGTGCAGATCTGCTCAGGAGCAGTGCAGAAATTTAAAAATCACAATGTCTCTGGATGCCTGGAAGTGTCCAAGGCTAGGCAGGATGGGGCTTGGAGCAGCCTGGGATGGTGGAAAGTGTCTTGTGGAAACCCAGAGCACCACAGGGAGTATTTCCTTTTATTCATATATAATTATATCTCTGTCTGCTCTGGGGTGCCCTGACCCCCAGGGCAGCACTGGCTCGGACCCTCATCCATGGAAAAAGTTTCCCAGACTTCAAGATAGACTGGAACCCACAAAAGTGGGAAATAGATTATAGAGGGCAGTGTAGGTGTGTCACTGGGTGAGAAATTGAGGGTTTGGGGTTTTTAGTGTGTTGTGGATGGCAGCAAGATGGAGGGCACAGGGTGTCATCCTGGGTTTCTTCTTCATGCTGCTTCTTCCTCCTTCTCCATGGGTTTGGGTGGCATTTTGTAATTGGGCAGAAAAGTCCCCATTGCAGCTCTGGGGGATCAGTTATTNCCCCCCTGGGCAATTCCAGTTCCTGAGCCCCCTTTCCATGGGGAAATTCCTCCTGTGCCCACCCTGGCTCAGCCCAAGGCTGGTCCCCCTTGTCCTGCTGTGTGCAGCCTGCAAGATGGGCTGTGCTGGGCTGAAAATGGTCAGTGCTGGGCTGAGAAGCGTCCAGCATTCCAAGAAAACTGCTGTTCGTCATCCTTCCCCCCCCCCAGTTTGGAGATGTGGTGTTGGTTGTGGTTACTCCTGATGCAGAACTCCCCCTCTGAGGATCAGCAAGGTGCCACTTGTCTGCTCCCCATCTCCCACCAAGGCCAGACATTCCCTCCTCCTTCTAAAGGAGGCATTGCAGCTCTTATTGTACTTTGAATAATGTTTTTGTGTGTGTGTTTTGCTTTTAAATCTGCCTTGCAGGAAGTGTGATTACGTTCAGTGGAAGTCGGTGCAAGGCTCACAGCGCTCTGTCAGGGCTGTGAAGCAGTCAGACAGTGACAGGGCCACCCCCGGTGTGTCACCGCTGTCCAGCCACCCCTGTCACACAGAGTGACCAGATGGACACCCATGGCGAGCCCGGGGTGACAGCTGTGCTGCAGGAGTGGTGCACAGGCTGGGTTGGCACGGCACAAAGGTGGATAATTCATCCCTGTGGCTGCGTCTCCTCAGGCACACACGCACAGCAGAAATCATTTCCAGCTGTTCGCAGTTACCTCCCAGTGCCATTTCAGGTCACCACAAAGCTTCCCAAATTAACCAAAGTGTGAGGTGTCAGCCACTTTAACCGTCCCCTTTTTAACCTAACAGATCATTGCTGCTGTGATTCACAGTGCACTGACAAG